CGGCCGCGCCCTCCCCGCGAGCGGCTCTGCGCGCCGGGCTCTCGGCCTCGCGGTGGCGCCGCACTGAGCCACCCGTCTCGTCTTCAGGGCTGCGATTGTTTTCTAAAACCCGGAGCCCAAGCCCCAGCGGCCGCTTTCGGGGCCCCGCCCCGCGCCCCTTCCTTTTGGGGTGGGGATGGGGTTGTGGGGCGGGGGGTGGGGGGGAAGGCCGCGGCGCGCTCAGGAGCGGGCAAGGGAATCCCTCTCCTTCCACGTCACCCGAAAGCGAGGAAACCCGCACTCGCGTCCTCTAACGCAAATGACCATCTTTGGCAACGTGCGCCAATGGAACAGACCAAGGGCGCTGCGCCCCGGGGGGGTGGAGGAGATCGGCACGAACCCGAGCGGCCTCGGCGCCCCCAGAGTGCGAGGGCCGCGCGCTCCCACCCTCCCCACCGCCCTCCTTCCTCGCGCGGGGTGTGCGGCTGGCGTCAGCGCGACCGCGAGCAGGGCCGGGAGGGGAGCGCCGCGCCCGCCTCCTCCCCTCCCGCGCCTCTTCCTCCTCCTCCTCCTCCTCCCCCGCCGCTGCGAGCGCTCCTCCCAGCAAGGTGGAGTCTAGGGTTGACGTGAGTGGATCCACATGGTGCGGGGCTGGAGAATAAAGAGTGTGGAGTTGAACTCGTGCCATTGTAGTGACTCATCTCGGGCAGAGCGCAGGGGCTCGGAGCGAGACAGCGAGCAGCGCTCGGCAGGGACAGAGAGAGAGAGAGCGCGCGCGAGAAAGAGGGGGAGAGAGAGAGAGAGAGGAGAGGGAGGGCGAAGCGAGGCGAGACGCGCGAGGCCGGCCCGTCCCGGAGCGGACACAGGGTGCAGGGCACTGCGGCGCCGAGCCACGTCCCTCGCAGCACCGCTCAGCCTGGAACCCCACGGGCACTGTCCCGCCGGCGCGATCGGGGCCGCTGGACCGGCGCTTGCTGCCTTGTCCTAAGTCAAGTGTCCGAGTCGCCGGGAAACTCAGGCGGCGAGTTGGCCACAGGAAGTTTATTCTCGGGCTCCTTTTCTAAAAGGAGGAAACAGAAGTTTCTCCCAACCGGCAGCTTTTCTTTTTCGCCTCTTTGGCGCCCTGTGAGATCGGGGAGGGAGTCCCCCCAGAGCTGCCAAGCGACACCCGCTGGGCTCCTTGTCTTTTTTTTTTTTTTTTTTTGCGTTTGCCCATTTTTTTTTTCTCCAGCCCCTGGGTCCCGGCGGAGCTCCGGCTGCGCGCGGGGGCGGAAGGGCGCGCGCAGGGGAGGGACCGAGGGACGCGCCGACTTTTTTAGAGGGAGGGACCCGGTGGACAACCGGTTCCGCGGAGCTTGCAGAGCAGAAACGAAGTGCGGTGCGCGGCGATCGGGGGGTCACTTCCCGAGCGTCGCCGCCTCCCTGTCTGCCTCGGTGAGGGGGACAGCCCGGGAGCCAAGAGCCCAGCCCGCGGCGGGGCCGCTGGACCAGCGAGCGCGCAGCAGACTGTGCGCGGCCGCGGCGAGGGCGGGGAAGAAAACCACCCTGTTTCCTCTCCGGCCCCCACCGCGGATCATGTACCAGGATTATCCCGGGAACTTTGACACCTCGTCCCGGGGCAGCAGCGGCTCTCCTGCGCACGCCGAGTCCTACTCCAGCGGTGGCGGCGGCCAGCAGGTACGTGCGGGCCCGGGTGCACCTGGCGGCGCGGGCAGACTCCTGCCCTCTCTTCTCGCTCCCCACTGCCTCCACCCCCAACCTCTGTCTTTACCCTTTCTTGACTGGGCTAGAAAAATACTTCGGGGGCCACCGTGGTTAAGTTGTGGGGTTTTGTTCTGTTCCGCCCCACCCACCCCCACCACTATTTTTTTTTTTAAACAAGCGGAGAGTGGGCTCGAAGAGCCCGTAACACCCTCACCCCTCGGCTTCTCTTACTTTATTTTCCAGAAAAGCTTCTGGAATTCCAGGTCCCCTCCTGGAAGCCTGTTGCCTCCTTCCGAGCGCTCTCCCCTCCCCTTCCCACCTTCCCCTTTCTCGGTGGTGGACAGGCAAGAAAATCTTTGCACACTCTAAGCCCCTCCCAACCGCCAAAGACCCTACAGCGAAGGCCTTCTAGTCCTTCCTACTCCCGTTTTCCTTCAGTCTTAGCTGCTTTCTGGAAAGGGCTGGGGACTCAGAAATATGGTTGGGCTCCTTCCAGTGCTCCGGAGGGAGGGCTAGGGTTGCCTCTGGGAATCAGGTGCGGAGGTCAAGGAAGGAAGAAGCTGGCTTTGATTGGCTCTTGACACCTCTTGTGCCCCCCCCAGCTTCCGGTGAGGGTTGGGCAGGAGCGTGCACCGTCCCGGAGAGCAGACCCTTGAGGGGCTTGGGGGTACCTGAGGCAAAGAAGCTGACAGAGAGAAGTGGGAGAAAGAGACGTCCCTTGGGCTCCGGAGTGGTTTTAGAAGTAGAAAAACAACTTTCTAAAGCAGGCAGACTGGTTTCCATTGGAGGGGTTGTGCCTGTAATCTGTGTGTGTCTATAGGTACCAAACAGGCACTGGGGGTGGGGTTGGGGGTGCTGGTGGGGTACCTGACTTGTGTAGCGTCACACACACACACTGTCTTGCGAGGGAACTGCATGAACTCACAAGGTCCCCTGCCACCCGAAGCCCACCGGAGTTCCTAGGAGTTCCTGGGCAAGTTGGCGGCAGCGTGAGTTGCTCTCCTAAAGGCCATGGCTATGGCCTTGTCTTTGGCCTCCAGCAGTCAACCCGATAGGAGGGGTGTGTGTGTGTGTGTGTGTGTGTGTGTGTGTGTGTGTGTGTGTGTGTACGCACGCGCGCGCGTGTGCTTCCAGGAAGAGATGGACTGAGCTGGGAAGTATAATAAAAACATGTCTTTCTTTGTAATCTGAAAAAGAGGGGCA